TACTTTTTTACGCTGAATTTTGTGAAACAAAGCAAAAAACAACTGAAATGTAACCGAATTTTCAAGTTGTTGAAGTGTTTAAATTTTCTACACTCAGGCTGATGCAAGTGAAATTTCAACTCCTTAGCAACACGCGCAAGTGTGCACATCAATCAGTACTTTTGTTAGTGTGCGCACGTTCTGCACATCACGCAAGGCATAGTTTAACCGGCATGCACATGCTAGGATTGGCATTGACGTAATCAACTACGCTTCCCTATGCTAGCAAGTACACGACTAAAATAAAAGCAAAATTTTCCTGCTGTGACCAAATCAAGTTTAATGAACCTGTACTTAAAGCAGGAACACGAGAATAACATTGTATCATTAACCACAAACTGTTAATGGCTTCCAGCTGAAAAACTAGCTGTTATCTGTCGAAAATTGTACTAAAATCCAGTTGTAAACATGTACCTGGAGAGGGCGTAGTGTGCGCGCAACACAAGCAAGAGAGGCGGAAATGTTTTTCTTACTGGGGAGGTGACAGGAAAAAATTTAACGGGCACAAAAAGTTTTTAAAAAGGATGAATAACTTTAAAAAACATGTGGTTACCCCCACATTTTATTTTATGAAATGGAAGTGGCAAGCCTATTCAACACATGATTAGTTTTTAGTTGTGAGTAAAAGCTATTTAGACTGTATTTCAACTGAACCAGACAAAGGCTGTTAGAGACCCTAAAAGCGCTGTTGCAACGATTTGTTATTGAAAAACATATCAAGAATGGTTTTTATGTTACCTTTAACCAAGTAGTCTTAAGATCTTTATAAACATGTTCACTTTTTGGTATATAAATGCGAATTCTAAGGAAATCTGTGAAGAAATATCCTTTCTTTCTTTTTTTCAGAATTTTTGTTGAGATTCAAGGCTAATTATCTCGTAAAAATGTGTGGCTACCCCCAATTTTTCTTTGTGGATTCCAACAGCCCTGACAAAGATCTACTTTTTCTTTCCTTTTCGTGTATAAATAAAGACAACTCACAGCCACCTACCTACCTAACAATGGACTGGTATCATTTTCCTGAAGAAAAGTATACACTCTACAGATTCAGTCCTAAAAAAGCTTTAAAAAGCGTAATAAAATTTAGGATTGAAACAAAGCAACAAATGGCAAAGTTTCCTGAGAAGTCTGCTACTTTCACACTTATGTTGGGTTTCCAATTTTTCCAGGTTTTGGTGGAAAACAAACTTGGCCATAAAACCAATATGCTAGAATGTCAGTTCAACATTCTGCAACATGATGTAGAAAACAGGGTAAGGTTTAAGGTCTGGGTTAGATTATATAATTTCTTATGATTTTGAGGCATAAATAACTTGAAAAGCAAATCCAGATTTTGTTTTCTTAGTTTCTATGGAGACATTGCTAAATCCTCCTTCTGACAACTTAGCAATGTAAACTTCTGGTGACCAGTGAGGTGCATATTTAAACAACCCATTCTTAGAAAAATCATTGAGTTTGTCTCGAACAAATGTAGAGACCATCAAACCATCTGTTTTCATGACTCTCCCCAGTTCAGAAATGCCTTGATCCAGATCAGGCCAAAAATAGTAACAGTTTACAAGGAACACTCGCTCAAAGAAGTTGTCACTATATGGAAGTTCCATAACACTTCCTAAATGAATTTCAAGTTCATGCCTCTCTATGGAAGACTTGAAGTTTTTCTTGGCTAGGTGAACCTATTATAGGCAAAAAAGTTAAATAATTATAAAGATCAGAGTGACCAACCAAGTAAATAAGCTTATATATGAAATGTCATACATAATGTAACCGAAGGAGAACTTAGTCTGATAATTTATAATGGTTATTACTTTAGATCATCGTAGACAATAGTTATGTGTGCAACCTAGGCCATCCCCATAAAATGTTTCGTTTCCATCTGCCCAAGCCAATCCATTTTTGTGGAAAAGGAAAAGGAAAACAGTCGCTCTAAGATTAAGACCTAAGACCCCATCTTACTATGAAAACTCAGAACCCACCTTAGCTTTCAAACAATATGAAAACTAAGACCCTATCTTAGGACGCACGGAATTAGGTTTAACTCAATTGAAATAAAGTAACAGAAGAAGACATGAAAGAAAAAAGTTTTTAAAAAGAAACTGAGTGATTGAAGACACACATTAATAAAACTGAATAAACATACAAAGGATTTATCATAGTGTCAAATTAGATCAGAATCCGACTTCTCCTCTCTCCATCTTGTAAGGGTTACAATGTGAAAGACTTAAGATGAAAAATGGGCTAAAACAGGACTGTTTCATTATTTTTCTCAGACAGTCAATTTATGGGGAGAAAAACTGCAGGACTCAGGGGGGGGGGGCACTGCCATATATGGGCTATATAGGTATGTGCAGCTT